ATGTTTTATGGATGTGAACAGCAAAGTTCAACGTTTTAGTTTATATGAACCAAAACGAATTGTGCTTGGTAGCTTTTAAAAGTAATAAATTTTTACTAGCAATTAACCGACTTACGTTAAGTACTTTAGTACGCAACCAGCATTTGCATTTAAAAACAAAACACATTCCTTAGTACATTTAAAGCCATTAATTTTCTAATTAATTTACATAGATAATCCTAAACAATGGTTTCTTAAAGCCAATAAAATTTTTGTTTTTTTTTATTATATTCAAAAAGTGTTTTGACATAACCAGCAGCTTAACGAAATTTACATTTACTGTCACTGACTTCTGTCTTATAACAAATGAAGGTGTCAAATGTAATGGCATTAATTGAAAATTTTCAAAAAAAAAACTATTACGAACTCACCAACTCAACTCGTAGGCGCAGCAGTATTCCAAGTTTATGCGCGCATATATTACATATCAGCCTGCATACGTACACGCTTGTGGGGAAAAAGAAAAGATCTCACCAAGAAAAAAAAAAATATATGCAAATTAGCGGTTGAGAATGCACACCGCATTGCGCAAGAGCACGCATTCTGTTAACCACAAAATCAAATTAAGCTGCTAAATGAAATGAAAGAGTAGTCAAAATAAAAGTCTTCATTAAGAAAGGGCCCCCGCACCTAACGAAGTTGTTAAAGTTTAGCACCTACTGGCATAAAGCAGCCGATAACATGTACAAGCCGAAGTGTTTGACGAACATTGATTAACGAAGTGACGCCGACTTCGTTTCGCGGCTCCGAACGGGCAATGTTACGGGCACTTATTGTCATCACGTACTTACTTTTAACACTTACAGCGGGTTAACATTAAAGCTACATTTATTTAAATTAAAAAAATATTTCATTTAAATATTTTTATATAAGTAAATATTGTAAAAGATTTATACAATCAAGTTCTTAACGTTAAACTTGGCTTAAAATATTTACAACATAATATATAAAAAAAAAGAATTTATTTAATTTATATAGCCACAAATAGAACAGAAAATTTTAAAAGTTGAAAAACATTTTTCAAGGCATTTTTTTTAAGCAAGTAGCAACAAAAAATTATTTTTAAATAAATTGCCACTTTTGATTAAATCAAAATCAGTTTTTTAATGCTTAAGAAATCTTTTACCATATATTATTCTAGTTGAATTATTATGCTCTTGTGTACTCTTTGTCTCTCGATCACTGTCACTCGCTACACTCGTTTAGATAGACTTTATAAGCATATTATTTTTTTTTTCTTAACAAGGTCAACAAGATTGTTAATGAATTTTTTTCTTTAGTCGGCAAAATAGTTTATGTGTTATTTTTAAAAACACAAGAGAAAAAAAACAAAATGAAAAAAAAACATTTTTCAAATAAACTAAATTAAAAGGATTTTATATGCTAAATAAAAATAATTGTCAAAGTAATTAATTATTTTCAATAGTTTAATATGTCCGCTTCACGAAAAATAAATTGTTTATGTTTGTATTAAAATGCGCCACTGACTGACTGACAAGCTTTGTACAACAACAATGACTCACCAAAGCATTTAAAATCTTATGCATAATGGGAGTTAGCCGACAGCCCATCGGCAATTAGCGTAAGCGCCATTTTGATTGATTGATGGATATGAATGCTTAGAACATATTAAGTAAACCGCTTATAATACAGATAACAAAAGTAACACAAAAAAAAAATGAAAATATTAAAGAAAATAATAATAAATAAATAAAAGCGGATCTAAATAACCGCTAATAACTGATATATTTAAAAAAAATGCACATGCAAATTAAAGAAACACAAAAACCTCTATACACTATAAGAATATAGTTTAGAATATGCATTTCAAAAAAAAAAGAATAGATTTTGATTTTTTTAACTGCGATTACTAATTATTAAGAAAACAACAAAACAAAACAAAAAACAAATGATCAAATATTTGTTAAAAGTATATATACGTCTGATTATCAAATAATTATCAGTACCGCATATAACACCACAATTAATATTATCAGTATTACAAATAAACAAACAAAAAAATATTAAAAAAAAAGTACAAAAAAAAAAAAAGAAAAAACGATTTTTTGTTTATTTTAAATAAAAAAAACAACACCGAACAATCCCAAAATATTGAATTGTTTAAGTTCTTGTCTTATTTGTTATATCGTTATCAGTACAAATGAAAAATATTTGTACAAATGTCTTAAAATTAAAGTGGTTTTTTGATATAAATTATATATATAATCAAATATTTACGTTTCTATCAAATATTTTGAATTAATTGCAATTTCAAGTGTTTCTGTATTTATCTTAGTTATTCAATGTTGTTGTTTTTTTTTCTCCTTCAATATATATAAATATTGATACATATGTATATATTTGTATATAGGTATAGTACATATTTATATAAGAAAGGTTGAATACTGCGAAAGTAATTATTTTAAATATTGTTTAAACAAACAGTTTAAAAAAATTAATATATAATTTTTTTTATTCTTATTTATATAGTGCTATCTGGTTTCTTTGATAGGTGATCAAAGAAAATATGGTAGGCTAGACCGATAGCCTTGACTTGACAGCTTATGCATAAGTTATTGAAAATAAAACTATTATTAAATTGTATTAAAAAAAAAAATTCCCATGAAATAATAAAAAATTGCGTAAGATTATTTATACTACAACAACTTAAATATGCTTTCACTTCGCATTGAAAATTTTGATACATTATCTTATACTTTGCATACTGGTACTTTAATATAAAATCGGTTGTATGCAAAATAATATCCAAAAATAATTAAATATGTTCTGTGTAAATTAAAAAGGTGCAATAATATAAGAAAACTGTGATACATTATTTATGCATTAAGTTCACATCTCTTCAGCAGCTACTTTTTTCTACATTTCTTCAAATGCGGAACTTCTAACTTACTATACAGAACTAAATTGGAGTTACCTACAATAATGTATATTCTAACGGGACAATAAACTATAGAACTATGTGGTGTTAAGCTCAGTTTGCCATGTCGAGTCTCCTACAGTAAATATCTACCGGTGCTCGTACAGGAAATACCGGAGCACCTCTTGTGTCTTTGTCCAGGTTTGCCGTTATCAGTGTTAAGCTTTTGGGTGTCTCGGTAATACGTCGTGATATTTTGAACTTAAGTATTAGGTAGATACTTGCGATCGACTGATTCTAACATGCCTTTTCTGTTACTTACGAGGTATGTAGAGTCAGAACGGCGTTCTTAGCTAATTGAAAAAAATTGGAGTATTAATTTGATACATTAATTTTTCATGCTTGTTTCATTTGATGAATGAAGATTGAAAGTTCATATATATGAAATCTGTTTGCTTGTATTTGGGAAGTATTCATACATTTATTTTAATAGTCAGAAATAACATATAAATATTTTCCTTTCGCTGTTCATTGTTCTGTTCTGGCATTCAAAATAATTACCGTATAAATGTAAAATAGAAAATATCAAAAATGGGAGAACAGAAATATTTTGCTTGTATTTGTTTCATCACCTTTTCAGGTGATGAAACATATAATAAATGCAGTAAACTGTGCGAAAACTGTTATAAAAACTAATTATAGTTCCTAATTTTATTTAAGTGTGGCATACGCCACATTTGATTTAAATCTAAACGATAATACTTCTGTTTCTGCTTTTATTTATTTAGAATCCTTTTTGTTTAATTAATATATTTCTTAATTTATTTATTAACTTAGTTTGAAAAAAGTTTTTATTCGTTCATTATTTTATCATTTAATTTTAAATTTAATATAATTTTATTAACAACATTGTTTTTCCTCTAAAAATATCTTATATTTTTTTTAAATTTTATTAAAATTTTCAATCAAAATTTTTAATATTTATAAATACATTATTTTTATTTAATAATAATAACATTTACTGTCTAGTATTATAAATTTGTGTTTTTGTTTATAAAAAGAAATGTTTATAATTAAAAAAAATATATAATTTATTTTATTATTTTTCTTATTTTTGTGTAGTTTTTTTTTTTTGGCAAT